TACTCTCTTTTTATATAGTAGATTGCTCATCTCCGTCGTGGACGTAGGTCAGTTGACCGAACCACGTTAAATGTTTGTGTCTCTTTTAGTAGATTTCTCCTTTGTTGTCTGATTTATCGTCGTTGAAGGTTTGCTTTGCTAGCTTCCGCATGACACCTAGTTTTTCGGTCCTAACACTCATGACATGCGGTCAAATTCTAACTCGCAAATTATTTTTGTAAAATTAATTTAGATGAGGTTAAAACTTAAACAGTGGCACAATGCCAGCCTATTTGTGGAAATCGCCACTTAACAGTCATCAAACACAAAAGAAAAATGGCCGGTTAAATAATATTTTGGGCAAGTGCAGAAATAGTAGATTTTGGAACCACCATTCTGTCACGCCTCAATTTCAGGGAGCGCGACCGGCGCTCAATCGAGATACCCGGTCAAGCAAGCTTACTTGAAGCTTTCTACCCGATCTTACCCATGAATAAAATAACGTTGTATTTTATTAATTAGACAATGAGAAGATTACATGAACAATACCAATTTCAATACCATTAGAGACATCATTTGCAATTCTCAAAATACATTACACATTCATAGTTTTAGAAGTGGAAACTGTGTTACAAGTACAACTTTTCAAGTTTGACTTACCCAAATCAGAATACAACTCACGCTATGTCTACGTAGCCTATAACAGATATAAAAGAGTACTATAATAGTGCCAGCAACAAGGCCCCCGCTATACCTCAAACATTATACATAAGGAACAAAAGATACAAAACCCCAAAATGAAGTGGGGCTCACCAAGTCAGCTGGGAAGAAAGCGTACTGCTATCACTAATCGACGCCGCCTGCTGTTGGAACCACCTGCATCCATTAAAGATGCAGCTCCCCCGGCAAAAGGGACATTTAGTACGTATGGAATAGTACAAGTATGTAAGACTAAACACCATCTCAATCAATCGAGAAACAATACAAGGAGAAACAACATAGTATCAATGAGAACCCCAAACAATATATAAGTGCCAAGTTAAGAGAAGGATAAATTTTCAAATAAATAATAATATTTTAGGTTGGGAGATCTTTAGCACCGATTACACCACCGTGCTTTTAGCACGGAGTCTGATCACGGTCCGATCGGATAAGCCGTCTCACCCAAAGACATCCAATCACAATACCACTATGTGCGCGGCATAGCTTCCGATTTCGGCCCTATCGGTCGCAGCTAAGCCATATCACCACAATGCCGTGTGGATCGATATCACTTTCTGCTAGCAATAATCCCATCCCAATTAAGGGGAATAATATCAACACATCAATCTCATCCCATTTAAGAAGAAAATCTCATTACATCAATATGGGAATTTTACTCATCGATCGCTCCTACACCGACACGTGTAATTTTGGGGTTAGGTTATTTCAATCTACCCTTCCTCAATGACTAAATGATACTTCCAAAATATTTATCATACAAAGGATTTACAGGCCATTTCATAATCTTTCACTAGTCTTTTCATTTCATCGACCGTATTTCATATTTCATACTCACTCCTTTTACTTTCAGGCATCATCATGGATTATTAATAATAAGGGCATTTATAATCACGACTTTAAGTATATTTATGAGCAATAGGAGTCTTAAGCACATTGAATTGTTCTTCCACAATTACAATTGAACATGATTTTAAATCATAACACCTTGATACGTTGGTCATACTCGGTTATATTCTCGGAGGGAATTATGATATGATAGGAATATTTGGGACATATTTTGAGTACATATATCTTTCAACACAACACTTATCTAGAATAATCAAATTTATTAGGCAGGACTTGGAACATGAGAAATAAGAACTTGAGCCAAGCATAATTGCAACTTACAAGGACATCATGGAATTCGATTCTACAAGAAGAGTTTAGCCAACATACCTCGCTTGAGCTTTACTTAAATTACTACTACATTCCGAAAATCTTAGCGACTTCAATCTATTAGTGAGACGACAAAATCGAACCATAATTAGGAAGATGTTCATGGTTCTTCTATAAGGTCTCCTTCATCCCACAACCATTCCAACACCAAGAACTTACTCATATTAGTTCGATGACCTCCCCACCATCCTTATTGGTACGTGCATGCATATATAACAACCCCCATACTTAAGAATCACACTTCTCATTACCTATTTTTAGTCCAAATCTCAAAATTGAGGGCTAGGGAGTAGAATCTTACCTCTTAGATGAAGACCTTGTGAGCTTTCCTTTTTGAATTTCAAAGCTTGAGCAAGGATTTGATGAACAAAGTACTTGGGAATTCCTCCTCTCTCTCTCTCTCTCCAGAGCACTCCCTTCTCACTAAAACATCAGCTGGAATCTTCTAAAATAACCCCAAGGTCGTTTTATAAAAATGGGGTCGGGTAAAAAATATTTTAAACTTAAGCCTACGAAACCGGATCTGCAATCGCAGACTGGACCGCAAAACTAATATGCGGTCCGTAAAGTGGACCACAAAAATAGTCTCAAAATGGGGTTGGCCTGGTCAAGTCTGCGGCTGTTATACGGCCCGCAGAACAGTTATGTGGTTGCATAATGCACCGCACAATCTCCCTTCAAAAATTTTATGTTGGATTTGCGACGGATGTGCGGCCCGCAAAATGATTATGTGATCACATAGTTGATTGCGAAATTATTATGCGGCCGCACCGCAAAATGTCCTTCAAAATTTAACTATTTTTTGCTCAACTCCGCGATGGTTATGCAGATTACGGAATGGTCTGCGGTCGTGAAACTGACCGCAGAATTGCCTCCTTCTGCAAAAATTATTTTTCCAACTCCCAACGCATTGCACAACCCAAAAAGTTTGTACTGAGGCTCGCAAGCTCGCCGCGAAGAATTTTTAGAATCCTCAAACACATTAACCTACCTTGACACCACGGAACCCCGAGTTCTTGGTAAAATTTTGCGGGCCTTACATACTTAAGTCATATCTAAAGTGTATCAAATTTTGCAAGTTTCATCACTTCGGAACTAACTTCAGGCATAAGTAATCAAAGTTGTAAAAGTTTGCGTCGAAGTTTTTGCAGTAAACTTCCGACATTTTTGTCTTAAGTTTGGTTTGCTATGGCCAAACTTCTAACTTGCCAAGGGCAAACTAATAACTTGCTAATTGCTAACGTCAAACTTTAGATATTTTCCCCTTAAGTTTGGTTTACCAAGCCCAAAGTATGGCATTTATGCATGAAGTTCAGGGATATATGGTTGAATTATGCATGACATATTTAGGTGAATAAATATTTGGTCAAAAATCGCAACTTGTTCTTCAAATTTTAATAATTCATAACATGATTCAACGTCCAAATTTATTTCATATCAGCTAAAATTTGACTACAGAGGTGTTAGATATCATAAAGAACAAATCTAATCGTCATTTATCCAAACAATGAGAAATCTAACAAACTCATTTGTCATCTTCGAGCTTTTCTCGAAAAACTTCAACGGTGATATTTTTGGATTTCTCAATCAATGCCTAATTCTTTCATATAATGAGCAACAACACATTATTCTCAACGCATAAAAATATTTGATACCCACTTAACTTACATGAAATTTTCATATTTAATTTGAAATTCAAAACGTATGATATTTTAATGCTGAAAAACCTTAATAGGCTACGAAAATGAAAAAAAGTAAAAAATAAAGAAGGTATTGTGCATTAAATGGCGCCTGTTCAAATAGGCCTGCGAGTAAAAATTCTACATAATATTTCAAGAAAATTACATACCCTAAATGAAAAGGGAATCTTACGGAAATGTTCTAGATAAGTCCTAATTTACTAATCTCTAGCCAATAATCATTAAATTGTCAAAATTAGCCAATGATATATAAAAATTAAAAATCCATATAAATAAAGATTTTTTTTCTCCAAAAATCATACGCAAAGTTCTCCTTCCATATTTTTAAGCGTGATCAGCAATATTAGATGCAAGACGGAAAGGAAATTTCATGGATGAGGTAGCAAACAAGATAATGAAATACAACAACAATAACAACCACGCAGTAAAATCCCATACGTGAGGTCTGGGAAGTGTAGTGTGTACACAGACCTTAACCCTAACCGAGGAGGTAGAGAGGTTGTTTTCGAAAGACCCTCGGCTTAAGACAATGAAGAGAAACACTATATCAGTACCATCAACAGAAAATCAAGAAATAATGACAGCATCATAAGGATCAGAAAATAGATGAAAAGCAATAACAATAACCAGTAAATAAGGCGGGGTACAATAAAAACGGAGAATAGTGCGAACATAATATTAATCACTAACAGTCGAAGACAAGACCTTATCAGACTAGCCACACACACACACACATATACACACTAACTTACTTATGGGCTGACATAATTGGTAACTTTCAAACTATTGGCAAAGAATCCCAAGGGCTAAACAGAAGATGTCGTTAAAATAGCACGGGCTAGCCAGTTTTCGGACTAGTCATTCAAAAATAGTCATCGTTTGTCAAGTCATTGAAAAATAGTCACTATTTTGCTGTAACAGAGACCGATCCAGCATTATAAACTGGAGTTCGGTGCACTTGTGCATGAACTTCCAGCATATTATGCTGGACAGGTATAATTTGCTGGCTCCAGTATAATATACTGGAATTATACTGGAGTTCCAGCAAAGTATAATGGAACTCCAGTATAATATATTGGAGTTTCAATATATTATGCTGGAATATTTTTCGGATTTTAAACAGTGTTTTCGTTCAAATTTATCGTTACATAAAAATTAACTAAATTTTGATGACTTTTGAAATTGTGACTTTTTTGAATGGCCACTTGTAAATCTGACTATTTTTGAATTTCTCGATTAGATGTCCACTAGCTTCATTTATGAATTCTAATGCTATACGTGGCCATCAATCGATCTGGAAAAGTAATCGGGCCCAATTCTAATGCCCAGAAAACTCTGGTCCACACATCTAATCAGTCCATTATATTTCTACCATACTTCACTATTTGAGACTTCGTCACTATAAACCGTGACCAGAAAATCATGTGGGCCACTCCTACGCTCGGACCATGGACTCCATGTTTCACCGCCACGAATCCGGCGGTAATGTGTCGTCCGATCAGTTTTCCGATATCATTCACCACCACGAATCCGGCGGCGTCGAGGTGCGTTCCAAATAAGCTCCGACTCTATTCGCAGCTCAGAAACCTCGATTTAGATAACAGTTCAACCACAGATATCTCCAATTTAGGTAAAGCAGTAGCCGTCGCTGCAGTCAAATCAGGTTCGGAGGCTGAGCAAAAGCAGCAAAATAGGAAATCATCACGAGCAAAGTATAATAGACGAGGAGCAAACGATGAAGAAGAAATTGAAGGAAGTTCAAAAGAGCGAGAGAAGAAACTGAGCGGTTTGGATGTTTTACGGGCGCTGGAAAAAGCGACGGCGCAGAAAATGAAGAAAAAGAGAAAGGAAAGAGACGGTTCGGCGCTAAGCAGTAGAAAAGTGATTGGACGAGGAAGAGGTGAAAGGCGAGAGGATAATGAAGAATTGGTGGATTATGATAAGGAAAGTGTTCGACCTTTGAGTATAAAGGTGGATTGGGGGACTCGTTTGGATGAATTAGAAAAAAGACTTCAACAGCTTCTGGATACAACTGCTGCTTGAATGAGAAGAAAAAGTGCTAATACTAACATTGAACATTTTATCTGATGAAAAACAGTACCAACTCATCAAATAATGATACAGAAATTGTTATGTAAAGCATTTTGTTTTGTACAAAATAATACACAGGTTACGATATGAATGTATAGTTTAAGTTGTATTTTGGTGGTGCACAAAATTTTATTTGGGATTGTTTTTCTCTATGCAGTAGACCAAACAATACATTAAATTGCCAAACAATATGTCAACTCCTTCCGTCCTTCCTTTTGAAACAGACCAAATCAAATTTGAATATCCTTTGCCCCATATCTTCTCGCATATCTTCTGTTTTCCATGGTTATGGTTGCAAAAGAATCTATATTCTATGTCTCGTATTCTCTGTCCCCTATATTAGCCTAATTAAGTTCAATTTTCTTTTCTTGACTTTTCGCCAAGAGCGGATTTTTGATACTAATTAAATTCACTAAGTCTCTTAATTCTTAATTAATGAGTTAGGCTAATATATTAAAAAGAAAAAAAAGAGCAAAAATTTGACTTAATCTGGACTCGCTCCCGTGAGGTACCTACAATAAAAATCAGTTATTTGAGCAGTTGCAATCTATGCAAAAATTTGGTGAACTCTTCACGGTTTAAGTTGAGAGACACCTTTAATTTCTCCAAGCGGAGAGGAGAGAATGAAACTAGAGGAAATTCCCTTGTCCAATTCTGCCCTTCATTTTTTCTACTAATCATAACAAGGCAGGGGGTGCAGCTAAGGTTCAAGCAAGAGAATTCAATTGAACTTATATTTTTTTTATTATATGAATATTGTTGAATCCCCTTAACAGAACGAAAGATTCTAGTGTAGTTAACAAACTCGAGTGCAAATATTGTTTTAGATCACAAGTTCAAATCTTAAGTGTAACATTCTAGTATCATATTGAATCCCCTTGTATGAATTCCTTGCTACGCCACTGTAAATAGGGCTACCCAATCAAGCATATTAATCCCCCAAAAATGGCAAAGGCTAGACTAATTGTGCATAATCCAACACCTACGCATGTTATTGCAGTTGCGCTCTGAGGCTACTAAATCTAAAATCCAAATCTGGTAGAATGACAAATGTTGAAGCTACAGGAGACTCACAGCTTTCATCTCAACAATTGAAGAAATTAACCCACATTACAGAAGCAATTTATGAACTAAAAGTCAAGCAGACAAACGATTACGGAACGCAAAATGCATCTCCAACATCCTTGTTTAGTTACAATGCACATTAAGTCGCTGAGATTGGTCTAACTGTTTTAACTTTGTTTTCTTTCTTCATAAATTAGGACGAAGTAGGAAATAGATGTCCTGAGCTACTGGTCTGGCATTCAATGCAAGTAGCAACTCTGCTACCAAGTACAACATTTCACCAGAACTAGTATGGTCGGTAACGTCTCCCCCGGTTGGAATCATCTCCCGTACCACTGGATCCTCCTCGTCCTTGTGGTCCACCAGCACCATTACTCCTATCATTCCTCCGAGGTCGAACGGCTGGTGCCTGAACTCCTGGCTGCTGGCTGCACAGGAAACATAGCAAGTTTAAAATGTTGGTTTTATTCTATGCATAGAACTTCAATAGTTCATCATTTATCTGAACATTTAGTAAACGAAAAACTAATAATTACACTAGTCATGAAGAAACTTTGTTTCAGAAGAAACAGATGTTAATATTTATAAGAACTTACAGAACATAGCCAATCTGACCATCAGGTAGAACCATTGGCACCATCTGCATACCTGCTGGCATCGGTCCTCTGCCGTATATCATAGGCTGCTAAAGAATAATAGTCTATCAGATGAATATGATCAATGACAATGTGCAGAATCAATGAAGACAACATGATGTACACAGAAATTACCTGTTGGAACCCAGCAGCAGCACCATAACCAGCACTCAGATGTCCATACGGATTCACTGGAAATGCACCATATCCTGGATGGGGAATGTAATTAGGATGGGGCATAGCATTGTGAGGACCGGCTGCTGCATCGAACTTCTTTTCAGTCTGAGGCTTTGCAAGAACTACTTCTAACACCTGACCTGCAATCCACATCCACTTTGACATTATTTGCCTAGTGAACTACATCATTAAACTAGTTTGGCATATACCGGAACTGATATACAAGATTCATATAGCTGACTGAGGCATTGTCGACCGGTTAATTGAAATACATCAGCAAACACAGAAATACATATTCAAGGGAAGCATCTAGCTGCTTTTTCAGCTCATATAAAAACAATAATTGTAGTGGTGGGGAATCATGAAGTAATTCTTCCTTTAAGAGAGCTACACAAGTTTACATCGCTAAAAAAACTAATTTAATAACGTTTAGCCTATGAATAGAGAACCATGCAGTGAATCCTGATAAAATTTGTAAATTTCAGCATTATGACAAAACCAGACCAAACAAACATGCACAGCATTTTACTTTATTCTAGTCATAACAAAATNCTATGTACAAATACAAAAACATCAAGGTATGTTCTGGACATACATTTCCACAATTTCACAGCAACATTTCAGACCAATCAAATGAGATCACACTACCAAATGCGCAGGGAAATCTAGAATATGATTCACATAGAGAAACTAAAAGTATTTACACAAGCACATTCAGTACAGTGATGACAACACTCTTCAAAGGCAGCACCTTATCAGCGGAAAATATACCAGCACCCAACAACCCAAACCTATCAACACAGAGAAAACTCGACCCTTTACTAGGCATGTGAATAATATTTGAGTTGAAGCTGATAAAGAAAAAGAGTAATTGATGTTGGAGTTGAGAAAAGTTTGTGGAAGTCGAAGCATGTTTGCCCATCAACTTCATTTGGTAAAAAAATGTTTCAAAAAGTTATACAAGAAAATGGAAGAAGGTAACAGATTTTATATAAATTTTCAAAAGAGTAAGCCTTAGCACAAAGAGTGCTAAGGGAAACAAAATACAGGAAGCCCAAAAAGCAAAAACCTAGTCCTGTACTAGTTCAATGCACCAGAAGTGAATATAGATCTTCTACTATGGCCTCTTACACCAAAAGTTAAACAAAAATATACAATTCATCTAGATCTTCTTTTCAGAGTTAGCTACATCTTCAATCTAAAAGTTAAAATTTGTGAATGGAAACCAGTATTTCACTTGAAATACACCCTTAAATCAATATTTCCATATTTCACAAAAGAAGTATTTGCAAATACTCATGCTCAATTATTTTTGCAAATAGTGAAGTCTAGAATTTGCAATATCGAAATATTGATTCATGCCTAAACAGGCCTGAAGTAATTTGAAATACTAAAGCACTATATTTCACTATATAACATGCCTTCAAAATAAACAAACTGGTAGCTCAATGAAATTAAACTCAATTGTGGAATGACACTATTGCTATAGTATTTCAATGATGTTGGAGTGTTATTGCTTCAGCCATTCAAACTCAGCAAAGAATAAAATGAGGTAAAATTGATAGGATGTAAAGTTTCTTACAATTTTAGTTTTTTCTCCCATTCGCCTCTTAATATACAACGATGCGGTGCTAACAAAAACTCAGGAAAAAAATTGACACATTCCAAAGCAGAAATGATTTTAGCAGTTCGCCTGTCTTTAGAAATTTTCAATAAAAATGTAATAAAGCATCAATATCGTGGTAATTGGTTCTTCCTTTTCTAAAACAAACAAATATTGAAGACGATAAGTTGACGGTAAATGGAGGGTGCCCAATGAACTAATGATTGGTCTCACTGTCTCTGATTCCTTGTACTAAATAAAAGCATTTGTACTTAAAAGCATAAAAATGAGTTTTGCATAAAAAATAAAGATAACAACCTAGGACATCTAGTAAAGCATAAATGTAATGAGAGGTTCAATTATTTTTCACAAGGTTAAAAGTGATCTTTGTAAAACAAAAGTTTGTAGGTTGAATCATCTTTCATCTAGGATAGCTTCCCAGAAAGAAATTGAGTAGGCCGCCTTTTACTCAAGTTGGATGAGATAAATCAGAATAACCTAACCAGCGCCGCAAAAGCTACTTGTCTGTAAGGAGAGAAGTATAAATTGATGAAGCAGAAAACCCCAGGAGGAGGCCATAAGAACAGTATTCATATCCAGTTCTAGCTCGGCAAAACAAAGGAGGAACTTCTTGGAAGTTTCAAACTCAAAAAAGGCAAAAAATAAAAAAATACGAAACATTGATTCCGTTGTTCCTACAGCACCATTCTCTATTTGCAGGTTATCATCAATAAAATCCTTGTTACTTATCCACCAAAAAAAGATTCTTTTGTTGGAAGATTGTCTTGTAGTATGACTTTTTGTCTAAAAGAAAGGATATATCACAGGCAACCACCACTTAATCATGACAACCATATAAATCTTCTGTATCCCTTCCAATATTTCAGATCCTTTTCACTATATGTCATATTACTTTAATCTAATTAAGGGTCCTACTTGACTGCAGTTGAACTAAAACTGATCTTTGACAAAGTATTTGTATGATAGATTGAATCAGTTTTAGGCTTAACTAAAAGCAAGAAACACACGTCACACTTCTGACAACTGAACTAAGTTGATCTTTAGTTTCAGTACAGCCCAAGCTATGAAACTTGATTCACAATCTTGAAAGAGAAAAAGGGAGGGCATACACGGAAGAGAGTTGATTCAAAACTGGAACATATCGCTTTCACCTCAAGGTCAGTTCGCTTTGATTCAAAAACAAAATAGGCATCATCAAAATGGGATTGGGTCGATCATAGCTTGATACAGTCCCATATTTGAAAATTATTGTTTCAACATATAGAAAGAAAACATTTACAGGGGTGAGAGTTGATAAAAAAGGGGGCTGAATATAGATTGCTTTCACCCCAGGGTCATATGGGGGGAAAAAGGCATCTCAATCACAATGGGACTAAGCTGATCTTACTTTTGGTTCAGTCCAAACCGTAATACTTGTTTCAAAATCTTGAAAAGAGAAATTACAGAGGATGAGAGCTGATACAAAAATGGGCCATATCCAGATGGTCAGCTTGCTTTGATAAAAACAAATGCATCAGATTTTTGACAGCTGAAGTAAGTTGACCTTAGTATAGTACAGTTCAAACTCTGAAATTATTGTCTCAAAGTCATGGATTAATTAAACAGGATGAGAGTTGATCTAAATATGGGCTATATCTAGAAATCTTTCAACC